TCCTAGGCCTAAATCCAATTACTGGGGGGCAGAGGCGAGAACAAAGCAGGCTATATCACGTAATACTTCCGAATAAAACTCTGATCGATAAACCTATTAAGTTACGTGAGATTGCTAAGAGGCTTTTGTGAATTCATTATGGAAGTAAAAGTGCTTGTCCAAATTTCGTTGTCTCATGTCACGAAATATAAACGGCATACCACTAGGGTACTTCGCTCGCTCAACTTGTTGCAATATCCCGGTCCTGATGGCATCCTTTTCGTTTTGCATATAGTGGGTGGTCTTAGTATACCCACTAATCCTCCCAAGTAATTTATTCATTTGCAGTGAGAACGTAAAATGTTGAAAATGTGCCTACCCGGGAGCATGAATGTAATTTGGAATTGTGGCGATTAGTCCTATTATTCCGAGGAACGGTGGCCCATTCCGTGTCATATGGATACATGTGGTACTTGTGCTAAGACATGAATCTATTAAGCGCTAAGATGTTGACAGTTATCGCCCTATGTGCCATAAGCTAATTACTACAAGTGGTAGAGAAGAGTATCAAAGAGAGGATGTTCTATCTTGCACTGTCCTGTGAGTTTATCCACAAATCTCAACACGCGTTCTTCAGGACTACATACAGTCAAACGGGTCAGCTTGAGTCCCTAGATTATGCACTAATTATACCGAAACCTAAAACAGGCATTTGCTCAAATTTCTTTCTGGTCAGATTCAGCTATCTGTGGAATAAACCGCCAACCACCCTGAGGTCATATGACAATGTGACAACATATAGTAACAAGCTCTGAAGTTACCTTGACCTGAATACCATAATGACTATATTCACGTGCGAAAAGTCCATGAGGAGCCCAAACATTTAAACACCGGCGTTTCCAAACCTTGGTTTTGCCTCAACTCTCGATCAAAACGCTAGCATATAAATCGCATGCCCCAATATAACATTTACATATTACCCATGCAATAGCATGGTTACTTTTGAACGGATTGATCTGTGCCGCTAGATACAATTTAGCTGATCACGAGAAATATACATATTATTATCAGTAGTAGTAGTAGTAGTAGTAGTAGTAGTAGTAGTAGTAGTAGTAGCAGTAATAGTATTAGCACGTGATCCAACAGGGACTCGGGAGTGTGTTTTGGCTACACTGCGCAACGAAATTCTTCAACCGTCTACCGCAAGATTGTAAACTGATACTAAATGAACCTATAATGCTGATTTCAAATCTGAAATCCGTTTTCTTTGCATTCTCCCGTGTTCACGCATGTACTATACAAATAGGAAATTGTATACCAATCCACTTTCCCTTCAAGTATGAAAATTGGATCCATCATGAAGAGAGTAATGAACCCGGACGATAATTATTGCTTCTGTTAACAAGAAAGTGTTCATTTAGGTGAAATTTATTGACCTAAATTATTCGGCATCTCGGTTCAGCCATGTTATGGTTCAATTCATACCCAACCGACCGTACCAGATAGGTTCAGGGAATAAAAGCAGTGTAAGGCGTTGGGTCCACAAGTCCTCTGTCATAACGACAGACACATCATCGACCTCAACGAAAACCGTTCCTGTTAGCCAATGTCATCAAAGTCCTCATCGCGTCCGATACGCATTTATACAAGGTCTTCATTGATACCAGAAACGGTTTAAATGTCTGGAATACCGCAGCGACACAAGAAACATAGAACTTACAGTTGCTAATTCCACCAGTAAATGTGGCAATGCCCAAACAACCGACGCAAATGAATATGTAGTTAGTATTTCACAATAAACATTTTCTTCATAAATATAAATTCGAATGGCATCAATCGGGGAAAAACCAGAGCTAAGTAACTAAAAAGAAGCGGAGATCTGACTGAGGCCTCTGTGATTTTTACATTCCGAACGTAAGAATCCGTTGAGAATGGAGACTATAACGGAGCAGTCCCAGTTGGTTGGGGCAGTATCCTAACCCAACTGTTGCACTAAGAAAATCGTGGAAATCTCCCAAAAGAATAGATAAAAGAAGTTAAATAAGGCTTGGGGAAACCCACCTAGCCCTTCGGCATAATTCGACTTCAACAGTCCAACCTCACGTTCGACCTTTGTGCGAGAAGGTGGATACAAAGAGATTGCATATCAGACGGGGCAAATTCCGATAGTTACCAAAAGCAGTGGCCGTTTCCACCTCCGACGCACAGCATCGCGGCCACTCTTTAGGCAGTACGCAGTTGCCCTGAGATCACTGCGAATCTCAATGTGTTCGCTACCAGCCTGAATATGTCGGCAAGCATTCAGAACTTGGACACTGCATGGAGAAATATCACCCAGGTAGGCAATCAGAGCTACCACATATGCCTGCTGCTATTAACAGCTAACAAAAATGCGACTAATGACGAACTGTGTTCAGCGAACGATAGTCCAACATGAATGCTAGCAAATATTCGAAGGCATTCAAGACATATGGCTTCGCAAGTCGGCGGATGTATATGCGCTCACAACGTTACCGCGATCGCCCACGGAGACACATCCGCAGATCAGCAAACACGAATGGATGATTAGAGAATGACTAGAATGATTAAAACGACAGATTTAAACGCAATCTATTTTTGTCACAGAAGGGGTTCCGCGTCATTCTGGAAGGCTGTGGTGAACCCGACAAATTGGACTGGCTAATAGAGAAGGCAAGAATTCGGTCAATAGTTTAACAGTCGCAAATTACAAGACAACTACACGATGTAGGCTAGCGCTTCTCATACGTTTCGCATGACCTTGTTGAACATCCGCTGTTCTCTTATATTCCTCAGCTACCTTTCATAGTGCTATTTTGTCCTGAAACATTCTACGGAGGAAACAATGAGATAATCCCACTGGAAATTTTTATTTTATGAAAAAAGTGGATGTTGGTCGATAAAGTGTACACTCATCAATTTCTTAGGAAGTGATCTTTCTAATACAACCCATCCAACAGTAACCGATCGCGATATGATCCATTTGCTTTCGTGGCTGGGCAGACTGGTGGTCGCCATGTCCCCATCCAATGAGCGCTGTGTCGAACACTAGTGTTCGCGAACAGGACTGCAGTATTTTCACATAATTGTACTAACAGCTCACCGTTCTGCAAAGTTAGGGTTAGAGTAGGAAATGTCAGTGTTGGGAGCAGCAACACCGAAACCCCTCCATCCCAAAATCGCCGTTATCATTACGAGATACAAAGCAATGTTGACCGCAAAAACGCCGCGCTCCACTTAACAACTTGAGCGTTCAGATCACCAGTCACCGCTACGCTTGCTGTATTTTTTCTCTGACAAACGAGCTCGTTCAGTTGACCATTGAGATCATCATTCACCAATACAGCGATGCAGTTTGTAGTTGCGTAGACAGCAATGAAAAACAGGCACCGGTTTGCCACGTGAGACTTCGAAGCTTGGAACGAGCCATCCAGGTACACGCACACACACACGCACATCTAGGTACTTGCTAGGATCCAGTCTAGCACAGCAGCTTAAGCCCACGTGCTCAGAGCAATGCCCACACCGGCTTGACCGGCATTAGTGGCTGAATCCTCTCCGGATACAAGAAGTGAGAAAATACCACCAGTTTCACAAGAAGAGGATCCCAGGATGAACACAGAACAGAAATCTTGCGGTGGGGTTTCCGATAAGCAAAAAATATTGATCGACGAGGTCTCAAGTGTATGGGCATGTGCCACTTTGACCGATCTGTAACAAAGTGCGTACACCTTAGCGAAGACCGACGGGTCCAAATAAAAGCGGATGAACTGAGGATGTCCACCTTGTTTGACATGGACGTGCCGACAGAACAGAAGTGACGTTGCGCAAACGTGTGTGAACAAAAACTAGTGAACAAAGCAAGGTGGGAAAAAACCAAGAATTCGGGTGGTGAAAATTAAGGGAGATAAACGTGGTTGGAACGGGACGATAACGATGAAAAAGCGTAAGGGGGATCGAAAGAAGTCCTGAGCATTAGCATCCTCATTCCATGTACCTCGTTCGATACAACAGAGAGGGCATCGCTAATTATCCTCTACGATAGATAGAGCATCAAGAAGTTATTTGGAGAGGAGTTGATTATATTGCTGTGGACAGGATATTACTGACAAGCTGTTCAGATCCAGACAGAAGGACAATTAGGGTTTTTAACCAAAACCTTTCTATGAAAACCTGATCGCAATACAGCGAGAATTTGGCACGGTTACACAGTTCTTTCTAAAGAAGGAGCCACCCTAACTCCAACTCCCAATCATTAGGACCAGGATACTGAGTCTGTCAGGCCTCTAACCAACGACAAACCTGGTATGAGTGGATCAGGAGGTACAAGAAGCACCACCTTGTACAGCTCAATGGATTATTGCAGTGCAAAACTACCGCAACACGTCAGGTCCGGTGTCGTCGCGATGGAACAGCTACAGTGGCTAGTGAGCTCTTCTGAGCCCATCCATCGTGATCCCTGTAAACTTCTCAAAATGTGCATACAAAAACCCGTTTTCTTGTTCCATCTCTTAAAGAATCCCAATATGAGAACCAACTGTTCCGTCCAACTAAACAGAGACGCTTGCTACCGGCCAAATGCAAGGCCTTATTCAGTCACTTTACTGTCAGCTCGCTGCATCGTTCGCTTTAGCTGCTGTTACTATAGAAGAATTGCAATTTCCCCGAAGTTGCATTGACGATGTGACCGAGCCTGGTAACGAAAAGCGTGCAGTCAAAATAACAAGAGGAGAATCGTGCACTTGCACCTAGGCGCTATCTCACTGGTACGTTAGCATCAATCCTTTGATTATTAGTTTATTTCCTGTTATCAGAATGGTACTAACTAGATGATACGAAATGCGCGCGTCCAGCAATGTTCGTCTTCTTTGACCTGTTTGTCAACAGATGACATATGGTCGCATGAAGCGCGTTTATGTCGGCGAGATCAGCAGCAGAAAATAAAAGCGACCAATCAAAACGTCAGAGGGTGTATTAATGTAGGTTAACAGAATTCAACTCACGCGCTTTTTCTCCAAAAACGCCTTGTGCAAAGATGCATTGGAGTCGCGAAGGTCCTCCAACTTGTCTTTTAATAGGTCCACCTCATACCTGGAAGCAAAAGTCAAAAAACGGCAGAGAGAAATAGAAGAGTAAGGGGAATTCAGAGATCTACGGTCGCAAAAGAGTGCGAAAAATGATGTTGGCATAAAAGCATCCGCTTAAACAGCAACATGGTGAAGGATCTTAAGGATCTTTCAGCTGAGCGGTAAAATCATGCATCATCATCATCATTAAACATGTTAGCTAGAGGTGGGAAACACCTCAGCTACTGTGCCGCAATACAAAAAGGAAAAAGAAGTAAAATGTAACAGGTGCAATCCGGCTGAGCTACCAGCAACGGATGGGCATGGTTCCGGTAAGGTACCAGCCGGCTAATCTGTAGCAGAAAAAATAATTTACTATACGAAATTATAAAAGGCTAAGTAGTGAGATCGTGGTTGGAGGGGGAGGCTAAGGGGGATGGGGTGGGACAAAGAAACTCACATCACGAACGCCAATGAGGTCCGCTCCCTGCAATGTCAGCAAGTGTATCCAGCCAAACGTGTTCATCATCTTTCGGACCCCAACCAAGGAGCCGAGACGCTCCAACTGAGGCTAGCTCCGAAGTGAGGGACTTCATTCCTCTCGACCAAGTCATCGCTCGGCCACCCCCTCCTCTTCTTCAATCCACATCCCCGGCGCACAAACAACGCACATCGCAGGAGTCGGTAGGCTTGCATGCGTAACACGTGGCCGAGCCATCGGAGTCTGGTGCGTGAAATAACGGTGCTGAGTGGTTCAGTTCCTTTTCCTGTGCCGTAAACAAGACATCGAACACGTTCATCGCTTACTCGGTGTTCCACGAGATGTGAGCTAAATTGCGAAGGCACCCGTGGTCGAACGTAACTAACCTCTTCATGTCCGCTGATCTAAGGGGCCAGATTTTACAATCGCACAGTAGGGTAGAAAGCACCGCTGCATTGTACACTCTACCATTCAGGGCTAGAGTGATGTCGCGCCGGCACCATAAGTGGCGAAGGTTAGTAAAACCGCCCGAGCTTTTGCTATCTCATCTGCGATCTCATCTTCAACCACAAGGGCGCTGATAAAACTTCCCAGATAATTGAATTTTTGAACGACTTCTAGCTTATCCCCACCAAAGGTCAGCGAAGGAGGCAGTCCAGACCAATCCTGGAGGAACGCTTTGCACTTCGAGGGTGCAAAGCAAAGCCCGAAGTGACGGACAGCCAGTGCTAATCTGCCCAGTGGCGCTTGGCACCTTTGGGAGCTGTCACAGATTAGGGCAACATCGTCAGCATACTTCAAGTGAGGAAATCGTGTTCCTGGGAGCAGATCCACACCTTCTAAGTCGCGTCCTGTGGACGCGATTTCCATGACTTCGTCAACAGCGAAGTTAAAGAGGAAAGGTGACAGCGGACATCCTTGTCTCACACCGCTGGAGATGTTAAAGGGCGACGACAGCTTGTCGTAAGCCCTCACTCTGCCTGAGCTAAGCGCATATAATGATCGGATAATATTCATATATTTCTCAGGTACACCTTTCCTGAGTAGACAGCCCCAAAGTGCACGCCTATCCACCGAATCGAAGACACCTTTGCTATCGAGGAACACGACAACGGTAGGCCGCCAATGTGACGGTGATCCAACAACTGATGCAAAGATGCGGTCAATGCAGCTACGACCCCGACGAAACCCTGCAAGCACTTCACGAATCTGGCTTTCACGAGTGCCAGTCAGTCTGTGAAGGATGACAGAGGCATGCTATCTGGAGGCGATGGAAATCACACTGAGTCCTCTATGGTTGCCGCATTCCGATCGTGAACCATTAAAATTGGGACTATGACGGAGCGGCTCCAGTCGGTTGGGACAGTCTCCTGCTCCCACAGTTTCACTAGTAACTCGTATAAGTCATCCACAAGAGATGTCCCCCGAATTTCAAGAGAGCTGGAAGAAGATCATCTGGTCCCGCGGCTTTATTTAACTTTAACAGACCAAACTCACGTTCGACTTCTGAGCGAGAGGGTGGATCCAAAGGGACAGCCCAGCGATCGAGGCGATCAGTCACCAGCGAGAAAGCTAACAATTCCGACTGATTAAATTTCCTTTCAAAGTGTTCAGTCCAACGCTCTAAGCGTTTTGACGAGTTGTGGATAGGCTGTCCACTCTTGTCACAAATTTTTTCACTAACACCAGGTCTTCTGCTGCCCGATTCCCGTATCAGACGGAATAACTTAAGATGGTTACCAAGGGCAGCGGCCATTTCCATCTCCGAAGCACGATGAGACCAGCAGGATTTGCGGTCTCTCTTCAGGCTAGCACGAAGTTTTGCCCGGAGCTCTTTACGAGTTTCATTGTGTTCGCTTCCAGCCGGAATATGCCGGCGAGCATCGATAAGTTCCAAAGACTGGGAGAAATATGGCTAAAAGAAATTAAGACCAAGAAAAGCCGAAAAAGATGTGTGTGAAAAAAGTTAGCCGCTGTACTGCAGGTGAACCGCAGAAGCTCGACTTGCAAGCATGAGCAGTTTGGTGTATTAAAGAAAGCTGTACTTTAGCCATAGACATAAGCCGACAACATGTTATGAAAAGAATGAAAACAAAGGCAGATTGCTCAACAATCAGAGGTTGACGGTTATTGAGTATTGTAAACATAAAGGGACGGTATAAATCTATGTAGCTCCAATTAAGCTTGAGTACCAGCGCAGAATGCTGTTAGAGAGCATGCATTTCATAAACATAATAAGCGTTGCAATCAGTTGCGAAAGGTTTTTTTAACCCAACTCCCATAAATTGGTTGTCTGTGAGTTTATTGAATTCCAAAACTGATTTTTCCTCGATAGCATTTACTGGTAAACTATCGAAAGCTCACCAATTGATGTTCGAAGTATAGACGGTAAGCACTTGATTCAAAGCCAGTAGTACACATTTGTACTGTTGCTTGGTGCGCGCATGTGGAATGACGGCCTTAGCACTCAGTAGCCAGTGAGTCCTTATGGGGTCAACTAGTGACCGACGGTAGTCTCTTACATCGGTCTTCGTACGGAATACCCCTCAAACTGGAAGTGTAGTTAATAGCCACATGCTGAACCCGTTCAGTTTCTTGTACCTCGCCCCAGATGTTCAAACAATAAGAGTGCGCAGTACTTTAACATTGGCCTTATGATGGGAGAGACGAGTGGTGACTTTTTCAGATGAGGCGCAAAAGCTATGTTTGAGCACCCAAAGCATGCGGTGTCCGTTTCAGTTTTTTGTTATTACGAACTTCGAATCGCGGTGTCAGAGTACGCGTAGATGTTGGATGGAATGCGTGGGACGGAGCGGTTGGGAGGTCAGTGTAAATTCTTCTATCACCATTCTTTCTCAGACTCATAAACAATGAGCTGACCTGGAGGCAGACTTGTGCAGACCACATGGAGATGCGGTTGAGATGGTACTGAAACACATCGTAGTTGTCGGGAGAATCAAGCACCCTTCAACTCTTCAGGTCATCAGCCCATAAAAAACCCGAACCCTCTACACAAATAGAATAATGAACCGCATTCAACGTTGGCGGTGTGGACACTAGAGTGACCGAATGAAGGACGCAAGGCGATGACTCCACGAAAATATAGATAAAGTATAGACGCTTTAGGAACAGAAAGTAGGCACCCGATAGCAGAACTTGACGTCTAAAGCGGGAGTCTGCTGCCAGTGGCAGATAAGCGAACACAAGTAAGAGAATTCATACTTAGGCAAAGAACTCAAACGGAAAACATCTAAGCTTTTCCCAACGGATACATAAACGTAGATAGAGGAATCGGATTAGGAAGTGTTCGCTTTTGCTGGAGATCCCAAGAGCGCTCTGCGCGGATCGTTTGGTTGGTTGCTGCAAGCCACAAACTTGACTTCCCAAAAGCTCCAAAAGACATATAACCGAGTCAAATCAAGAAAATGCATTGTGCGCCCATGAAGGGTGGAAACAAATTAAAAAGACTGTAGAACTGTAGTACGTTGAAAAAAAATGATGTACGGCCCAACGATATGCTGACATGTCAAATGCCTACAAGTGCATGAGTCCACAGCTCCCAGATACACCTTGACTGCCTTTTCTAAATGGGTCTCGTTGTTTCGAAACATCAAATAGAGCGATGGCACCTCATTTAGCGGTTCCAACTTGGTGCCGGGCGACTGGACTTCCGCGTGCCCACTTGAATCGAGTCAATCAGATAGAAAATCACATCATCCATCGCTCACCGTTGGTTACGGGGACGGACAATGATTGATATACTGTAAACGAGTACTCAAAGTTTCTTGTGCACCTGTTGGCGTAGTTTTACTCTAGGTCATAAGTCAGTAGTGTTACAGTTCATGAATTATTGCTTCGCTTACATGTGCTCCTCGAGCGCTACACATATGAGTTATGGTAGCGAAGGCATATTTTTCAGATGTCAATCGTGCATTCCCTAAAAAGTCATGTAGAAATGGTCACTAACTACTGACTCAAAGTCAATGAAAAGCACGATCGCGAGAAGTGAGATCGTTTTATATGTGCGTGAGATTGGTGATCGGAACCGTGGATGGTGAAAAGCATACATCAGCGGCTCTCGTAGGAACAAGTAGCTTGAGGTCATCCAAAAGATGGCAACTGGTCTGCGAGGTGAATTGAGGATCTATGTAAATGATGGACTCTAATACCGCACATTGGCCGGAGAATAACGCTGGAAAATAGAGTATATAGCAACAGGTCACTTATTCCATTTTCTCAAACAATGAACGGGGGTGACATTGTTGCAAGCGACGAGTAGATGAGGCTAAGCACATAACAAACGTCACTCAAGCTGGCTTCTGAGCACGTCAAAAAAGTGTTTCCAACCAAATGTGTTCATCGTTTTTCGGACCCTAATCACAGTTTTAAGGCTACAAAGGAGGCCAACTTCCAAGTGAGAGACTTCGTCCTATAGAACAAGTCACCGGTTGGCGTCCCTCCACTTCTTCCATCTACTCCCAGGTCATGGAAGCGCATGTCGCAGGAATCGCTGTACTGGTGTGCGTACTACATGACCAAGCCATTGGAGCCAGGTGAGTGAAATAATGACCATGAGTAGTTCACTTCCCTTTCTTGTGCCATAAATAAGACGCCGAACACAGTCATTATGCACGCAGCGTTCACACCATATGTGAGCTAAGCTACGAAGGCACGAGTGGCCGAGTGTAACTTAGCCTCTTTAAGTCTGTCGATGTAAGGGGTCAGGTTTCACAAGCGTACAATAGGGTTGAACAGGTAGCCGCAATGTGGACTATGCCCTCCAAAGCGGATGTGAAGTCGCACAGGTGTCATACGTGGTGAACATAAAAACCCATCCAGCCATTGCTATACACATTATGACATCATCACAGGAGTTGACACAGCTACCCAGGTAGTTGAAGCTCTGAAAGACTTCCAGCTGTTCTCCATTAAGGGTAAGTCCACAGTCTGGATCTTATCAGTCCTAATAGAGTGCCTTGAGCGGTGAGGGTGCAAAGCACAGCCGAAAACGATGACAGAGAGTGCTGCTTAGAAGACTCGCAAACTGTCACAATTTCGCCGGAGACCCCTAATCGAGAAGTCCATTACCAGGGAGCAATTTCACATTCGCCAACTCATGTCCAATGGACGCAGTTTCCAGAACTTTTTGTCAAGGTAGAGAGAAGACAGATGTTGCGATATGTCAACATTTCGATGGTTCTCTTCAGTCACAAACATAATACGAGCAGAAACAAACAAACGATTATGTACATGGAAAAATAAGCCACGCCAATCAAAATGTCACAGCCAAGACCATGGCAACCAAATTGATTGCCTCAAAAGTATCTGTGCACATAGCACAGGTTGATGGGCCTTATTTAACAACGCCTCACTAATTACCAGCATTATCGGGGTTTTGTTACGTAATCACAGCACTTTGAACGCTGTCTCAGGGTTCACGTGATGACGGGTTGCCATGAGATGCTTGGTGACAGACGATGCCGGGCTCCTATTACTTCTCAGATCCGTCCCACTTTGTTGCGTAATTACCTGTCCCAACCACTTTGGCAGATGTCCAGCTACGCTCTAAGCCAACTGCCGATTTATTCTGCTTATGTAAAGGTCACTGCAACCGCAGGTGAACTGATAAACAACGTGAGTGGCCGAAATACCCGGCAAGATGATCTGATGGTCATGAAGAACAAGTCCTCGCGTGGTATGCCTGAGTCGTAACTGGGCTGTCGTGTAAATGCGCGTTAGGGCGAACCGGAGCTTGCGTCCGATATCACTTGCCACATGGTCCCCCTTGAACGGCAAGAACAAATAAACATCATTTTTCTAAGCCGTCAACACCGTTGTTTTCACGCTGGGGGGTCTGTTGTGTACCTGAATAAACTTCGCAGGATATCCATTAGAAATTAAGGTCTTACGTAGAATTTCTTCTTCGGCTTTTAATGTTTCGGGGCTGCAAGTACATCTAGCCCGGTGAAAGGGAGTTTTCACTAAACCGCGTTTGTATGCGATCGGAGTGAAGATTGAAATGTGAAGGTACTGTCCACTCCAACTCGATTTGCGGTGAACAGTGCGCTGCAACGTACCTTAAGCCCGTCTCCCAATGAGTATATCCAAAAACGCCGGGCAACTGTGTTGTTCCACTTCATGGGATACCGACAGATTAGGGTGAATCGAATTCAGGATGGTCAGACGCCGGGTAACATGTTCTCCGCTGTTGAGGACTAAAATGTCGTTCACCTATCGTCTGTACAATTTCGTTTCGCCAATGCTGGCAGCAACTTGCCTTTCTATCAGGCCGAGGAAAATGTCGGCTAAAACTGGTCCCAGAGGGCTGCCCATAGGGACCCCGTGGATCTGTTTGTATGCGGTCCCTTCAAACTCAAACCGTATGTCCTAGGTGCACAATAGAATCATATACTTCAAATACTCCACTGGTATGCCCACAGACATATTCTGGCTCAGCATAAAATCACATAAATTATTGACCGTCTCACGTAAAGGCACGTTTGTGAATAAGAAGTTCACATCTATTGAGTACACAAGCTCTACACTCAGTGATGATTGTTCCAGCGTCAGCCAGTTCAAAAAAGTCTTTCAGACAATACGTAGCGAGGAGTTTACGCACCGGAGCTAATAGTTTAGCCAGCCACAGCGCACATTGTGATAAGGCGAATTGTTCGTGCACATGATCGGACGTAGCCGGTATCGTGCTTTGTGTATTTTAGGAGCGCTTCTCATTCTAGGTGTCTGTGTCTCAATCGGTTTTAAGAGCCTGTACTGCGACTCATTGATGTAACCATGTAGCAGGAGGATCTGGAGCTTCCTTACCACATGCATCTCCACCAGGATGTTGTTTTCCGTTGTACTATCTAGCTGGAACTTCCGCGTGTCTCCCAGAATGGACTCAATCTTCGAAATATAGTCAAGCTTGTTCATTACTACAATGCCCGATCCTTTATCCTGTTGCAGGAACATTACGTGATCCATTTGTTTCAAGCCTCTGATCTCCGTATAGTGTTCAAATTGCAGACAGCACCTCTGACTTACTGGCGTACACAAGAACTGGTTCGTAATATATACCAATTTCGCCAAAAGCAACACGCATCTTCGTTGGTCCTGACGTGAGGTCACTGAGTTGTTCATTCAGATACTCAAAATGCGCATGCGTGGTGATCTTGTCTAGCGCTTTTGGCAGCAGTCGGAATTCCATTCCAAGAGAGAGAACTTCCGATTGAGTGCGTGTGAACTGAGCAAAGGACAAATTGTATACGTGCTTCAAGCAATCAGTAGGAAACGAAGCATTGGTGGCTTTAGCAAGAGAACCCTGAAGACTGCGCACTGTTTTTACTCTCGTGCAACGGAGAACTTCAGCGGAAAAGGCCTCAAATTTTAATCGACAAACCAACGGCAACTCATTGAGTGTGCAAGCGAATCGTCTTTGCGTCTCGAGAAATCGCCGTTCTCGTTCAAGGCAGGCGTCGATATGCGCCGACGCGATCCTGGCCAGATTGGTGTTGTTTATCGGCAACCTGTTCCTAGACAAGGTCTTGGCGAATCGCGGCGGGAAAGAACCTGAGCGGATACATTCCTCAAAAGCCTCACGCGGACGCGTTCGACAGCTAACTTGCAGCGCAGAGACAACAATCGGTCTAATGCTCTCGCAACGGCAGCAGGGAGTGTTCTTTTCAGCAAGGTAAAACAGTGGGTCCCCTTCAGCCATTTGGTTAAGGCAGAGAGAAGACAGAGGTTGCGATATGTCAACATTTCGACTGTTCTCTTCAGTCGCAAACACAATACGAGCAGAAACACACAAACGATTATATACATAGAAAAAATAAGCAACACCAATCAAAATGTCACAGTCAAGACCATGGCAACCGAACTGACTGCCTCATTTTGATTGGTGTTGCTTATTTTTCCATGTATATAATCATTTGTGTGTTTCTGCTCGTATTGTGTTTACGACTGAAGAGGACAATCGAAATGTTAACATATCGCAACATCTGTCTTCTCTCTGCCTTGACGAAATGGCTGAAGGGGACCCAGTTTTACTTTCCAGAACTTTGTCAACAGCAAAGCTGAAAAGGAAAAGAAACAGAGGGCATCCCTGTCTCACACTGCTGGAGATACTGAGGGGTGGCAACTCGGATAAGTTCTCAAACAATTCGAAATGTACGCATAAAGCCCCCCTTGTAATATTCACGTATTTCTTATGCCAATAATTTCAAAGCGGACATTCCCAAAGGACCCGCCAATCCACAAAGTCGAAGTCATCTTTTATGTCGAGGAACACGACTGCGGTGGGTCGCCAATAAATATGGCAGTGTGCCAACAACTGAAGTAATGTGAACATGTGGTCAGCATAGCCCTGACTTCACGAATCTGGCTTTCACGAGCGCCAGTCAATCTATGAAGAACAACAGTGGTAAGTAACTTAGAGGCAACGGAAATTAGACTGAAACTTTTATAATAGGCACATGCCGAAAGTCAGCCGACTATGGGAATCGTGAGTATAACAAAGCAGCTCTAGTCGGTGGGAAGAGTCTTTCGTTCTTGCTGTTTCATCAATAAACTGTGCAAATCATCTACACGAGATGGTCTCCCGAAGTTAAAGAGAGCTAGAGGAAGTCTCTCTCGTCCCGTTATGGTGTGCAATTTCAGCAGTTCGATCTTAGTTTCGATTTTCCTGGGTGAGGGAAACTCTAAGAGGACGACCCAAGGAGCAGAGAGATCCATGATCGAAAATATCACCTAAAACCTACAACTACTCGAATAAAGCTTTGACAACAGAAATAATGCACGATTAAAATATCTCGAGCAAAAATAACGGTAATCGTACGCATTTAAAACTGACCTTAACAATTGTTTGTCATTATCTAGCTGAACATTAGCCATCATGGCTCCTTTAAATTTTTCTTCCAACTGCAGAGCGTGGGATCTCAGTTCACGTGCGTCCATGATACGGGAGATGGAGCCTCCACTGGACATCGTCTCCATAGACGAACGCTGACTACTGAAGCGAGAGTTGTTGTTGGGCTCCCCCTGAAGATGTTTGTGAGTAGAAGAAAAGCCTTATCTTGAGAGTGAGTAGAAGCAAGGAAACTTAAAGCAAATGACGGTTATAGACAGAGTTAGTGCAGTGACCACTGGTCTATAATGATGTCCTGTTTTACGGGATGGAAGCAGCTGTGATTGTTCAAGGCCGTATGCAGGACATCAGATACCAGTACGGAGTGAGTAAAGGATGCTTGCTTTTAACGAAGTTAAAAACTATCCCGTCTCTCAAACTCGATGCAGACCGAAATAAAAGTCCATGGAGAAGGATAAATTAACAGAGCAGCGACGAGTATTAAACAGGAAATAGCAGATAAATCATGACAGAAATCACACACACGGCTTAGATGAAAAGAAGCGATAAGCAAAGTGCAGTGAGGAATGGTAGAAAAACAAAAGGGTGATAAAAAAATACGAATCTTAAGTGTATAGTATGATAAACAGAAACAATAAAGCGAACACGACAGGGATGCCATTGAATTAGCAACCGTATCATGCCCTACAGGGTCCCTAACCACATATGTGTCCACTTTTCCTAAAACATCAAGCAACAACTAAGCAAAACCACTCCTTCCATGCCTTTTTACCAATTCATTTGCAGATCACCACAAAAACGGGATTAGTCAACGGTGCGCACAGAGATAGGCGGTCTGTGGGCAAGTTTAGAACTGTATTTAACGAACCTATATCTTGTAGGCTTAATAGACAGTCAAGCGCAGCTCCAGACGGATTGTTGTGAAACACATCTATGGCCCGCACAAAGAATATTGCAAGGATTATTCGTTTAGGACCATAATTAGTGGCTGCGTGAGGCATTCATGATTAAAATAATGTAGTCCATGCAGCCCCCGACGGGTTGGCATATTGATATGCCATTACCAGATGACCTTAGTTGGCCCCACCATGTATGTTCAATGCTGCACAAGCAATGGTGTTCAGAGACCATCGTACATTGATCATTCCGCGAGTCATGTACACATTGTCGACCATTGGTTGGCGGCACCCGTGTCTGGATTTGCCTGTCAATGCGGCCTCCATAAGATAGCCACAGGAAGTTTGCACCTACAGAGGGATTTTGAGTGGTTTGCGCTGCACCACACACAGCTCCGGGCGTCAACATTCACATCAAGCGCAGCCACACTGGGGATATCAAGAAACAACCAATCCCTGAAATGCAAGGAACTCAACACGCAGGCACACGCACAGTCCAAATGCAATAACGATGTAGTACATGTACCACATAGACTGCCTCATTAACCAGAATTAGAAACGGGAACGGAAGCAGCGCACTTAGCAAGCGCCGTGTTGATGCTTACCTACACATTTAAAACACTCGTTTTCTCCTAGGTGTTTGCCCAACGTGGCGACCCTAGTGGTTAACCAAACCTGTTTGGTTGAAACACTCACGAGCGCGTGTGCTACAGCGCAATGAGTTCGACGTCGATGTGCTATCCACCATCGTTGCCTGTCGCTTCCATAGTTGGCGTTTCTTTTTTGAAACCAAAAGTGGTATACTGTCCGTCAACATTCACATCAAGCGCAACCACAGGATATCAAGCAACAACCAACCCCGGAAATGCAAGAAACTCAACACGTAGGCACACGCACAGTTCAACTGCAACGACGATGTGGCACATGTGCCACGTCAGCCATCTTATTGGGCTGAGTTAGTAAACTGAATGGAAGCGGATGCAGCGCTGATTATGCTTAAATAATCAGTTGGTTCGTCTTCTTTTGGATGCTTGCACCACGTGGCAGCGCGGGTGGTTGACCAAACCGGCTTGGCTCTGGCACTCGCGACCGCATGTGTTACAACACTATGTGCTCGACGTCGATGGTCTAGAATCCATGGGCGCCTGTCGCTTGCGCACCCAGCGTTTAGCCTCCGCGAGCAACAGTGCCTTCTCTGGGACCTGGCAACCGCTCTCTTAATCAGTTCACACTATCTGTGTCGACGAACTGCCTCTGACTCCAAGCACCTAAAATCAACATTAGTTCGTGATAAACTCACTTTGATCATGTCATGGTAAGGTAATTTCGGTTTCCCCATGTGCCGCTTCCTCGCAGCAAGTTGGCTGTAAAGATGTTTGGGTATCCTCGTCGATTTCATTCGGCTGATATGTCCCAGCAGCAGAAGTACTCAATCCGATGCAAATACCCCACTGCGGCGCAGCATTTCCGTGTCCACAACACTGTCGTACCAATCAATGCGCAGAATCTGCCACAGATACTGTTGATGAAATCGTTCGATATCTAACGTCCTTCCAGTACATCGTCCACGCTTCGATGCTGTACAGAAGAACGGAAAGAGCCAGACTTATATACCATTAGCTTCATTCCGACGGTAAGCTGTTGGTCGTTTCACACACGGTTCCTTCAGGTTGCCAAACACAGCAACCGCCTTGGATAAGCGGAAGCGCAGTTTTAGATCTTTAAGTCTTCCCGCTATTCCAAATTAAACACCTAAATTTTCCACAAAAATTCTATCACAGCCGAAGAAAAATCAGAATTCCAACGAGCTTGACCGCAAAAAACATGTTAACCAAAACGCCACCAAACGTAGCCAAAACGTCGCAGAACGCCGCCAAAACGTTGTACAACTATGCCTGACCTACGCCAAATATGTAGGTAGCTCCATGGTCTTCGGCTTCCAGAAAACGAAGGTCAACTGGTAAAATTAGTAGCCTCCTTCCAAAACTCCGTGTGTTGGCAATTACGTGAAGGAATGGAAGGTTCTGGAATCTTCGAAACCAATGCACAATCGAAGATAATAGATTAATTGCTAAAATAATGGGTTTTCCTTCATGTTTTTACCTTTTCCCAGGCTGCCGCGGTGTATGATAATGGCCTGGGGTTGACCTGAAGCTTCCTGGATGGTGTTCTAATCCTATCGGCCCATCGCCTTGGCTGCAGCATTCTGGATTCCAGTTCCGTGCTCTGCGGTCTGGTATCAACCTTCTGCTGATAGGGTTCTTCCGCGGGCTTTTTAGCAAGTTGAAGTTGTCTGTCAACAGATCAAATGGAAGCTCGACAGATTCTGTTGCTTGTGCCTGACACGGTGTTGATCGAAGCTAGTATGCATGGCGTACTCATACCTGCGTTCCAACCAGCACGTCGTAAATGACGTTTCCGCGCTTGCGCTGCATCGTGCCTGGCGTCCATTTTGCGTGTCCTTCCCGGTAATCGTGTGCAAGTACTGACAGACCCGGTCTAAACGACCGTCGCCTGGTACCATACTGCCGATTGAAATCACCTTCTATTATGAGGTTCCTTTCACCAGCTGTGGCTCGGAGGACGGCCAAACTGCATCCAAGGGCATACGAAGCTTTATCTTCAACACTGCCTCTGCTGGTGATATTCCATCCGACGTTTGTGGATTTCGTGTAGATCGGTACAGAGGGAGGAACCGGTCGATCACCTTCTCTATGTCTTCCACATTGAGTTAAGGAGAGAGCATTTGAAAGTATCCACAAATCTTTTCCCTTGGCCATTCGATTGAGTAGAACGGTGGAAACCGCACGTGTTTTATGGCGCAGCGTTTTCAGAACTCCGTGAATGTGGCAGAAGTAAACTGTGCTGCGGTGTCTGTCACCAATGTTTCAGGCATCCGAACCTGTCTGTCGAAACCTTGAGACTGCTGCCCTGGTGTTCGTGCTGCTCATGAGGAACACTTCGGCGCAGCTGTTATAAGCGTCAACCACAATGAGAAAGTTCTGGCCATTGATTGGGTCTGCAAAATCGACTTGAAGACGGCTCTAAGGTTACGCTGGTTTTTGGCCACGAGTGGAGTTCCGTCTTCGATGGTGTCCTTTGAGCGGTAGCGCAGTTGTCGCAACTTCTAGCTAGCTGTTCCAGCTGTCTATCCCTAAACGGCCGATACACATAACTTCGGGCAAGCGCTTTCATTCGGTTGACTCCTAGATGCCCTGCATAGAACTGCCGTAACACTCTTTCTTGGAATACCTGCGGGATGACTACTCTCTCCGAAAACATGATACAATCGTTCCCAATGGAGAGCGGACGTATTCGATGATAGAACTGCTGCATTTCGGCAAAGGAGCGGAAAGGTCACCAGCTGGTTCGGTGGAAGTGTGTAACCTACTTCAGGATTGGATCTCGAAGCGTTTCGGCTCGCACAGTTTCTGCCGTAACCGGCAAACCAGGTAGTGCTTGGCTCACCAGGAATTTGACATCAGGTTCGATCTCAACTGAGGCTATGATGGTATCCTCGTGTTCTTGCTGATGAGAACCAATGATGCGTGACAACGCATCTGCTTGACCCATCGAAACCGTTGACTGAAAACGGATCCCAAAATCATAGCTCAGCAAGGTGAGTGCCCATTGTTGGAGCCGATTGGGGGCGTAGGCAGGAATGCCTCTTTTCGAGCCGAAAATGGCCAGCAGCAGCTTGTGACTCGTCAAGAGCTTGTAGCGGCGACCATACAGCATCTTGTGAGATTAATTCGCAGCAAACACTATGGTCTATGTCTCCTTCTCGATGTGGCTGTAGTTTCTTTCAGCCTTCGTAAGCGTTCTGGCGGCATGTGCGACCGCCTTCTGAGGTTTATTTGGGGACGTATGGGAAACTACGGTAACGATCCCTGGATAGGATGCGTAAGTGGCGAGGACAATCTCTCAGGACGGATCAAAGTGAGTTCGGAGTAGCTTTGAAGCTAGCAATCATTTGGCCCACTCGAACGCAGTCTGGCATTCTGGTGTCCAATTCCAGGTTTGGCCCTTGTTCAGCAACTTGTTGGGCGGGGCACGCAGGCAATGTAGTTGGGGCAGAAAAGCGCAGTAATGACTAATTAGGCCACAGAATGAACACAGCGATTTCAGGTCTGCAGGCAGAAGCATCATTTGAATCGCTCGGATATTTTCTGGAACAGGGCGACGACCGTCTTTTGCAAAAATGAAGCCGAGGAACTTGGTGGTGGGGGTAAAAAACGTACATTTGTTTTCACGGATCCGGAAGCCATATGACTGGA